CTGGGCTGATGGCAAGGGCAGCGGATGGAGGAGTCTGTTCTCAGCAATGCAAAAGGTATTGGTTGTGATACTAGCACATCACCAATTAACTGAACGCTGTATTGGCAAAGAGGTCCGAGAAACTTCTGTGCTGTCTGCAGAACCCTGTTAGTAGCAGTCACAAATAGATGAGCTGATGGACGTGGAACAGGGAATCACCAGAATCTCTCTGTGCAGCTGATGAATGGAACTTTTGCATATTCAGGTTCTTCTCAACAGCATTTCAGTACATCATCCAAGGACCTTGGCTCGTTCTTAATATCAAAAAAGAGGCTGCATTTTAGCTTGCCCTGAGCCAGTTAACCCAAGCATCGTGCTCACAGGAGAAGTTTCCAAGCGGTTAGCACTAGTGTCTGTTTAAATAGCACAACTTCCAGATCAGCAGTAACTACACAGCATTTCCCAAGTGACCTTATTCTTAGGTCATCTGAAAAACTGTTTGGAAAAAAATTCAGTGCTGATCTGAGGTTGCCAAGTGTCAAGCAGTTGTAATTCAGCAGTCATTTGTCAGTCTAAGGCAGATTTACGGTATCCAACAATTTTCACAATATCTGACTGCTTCTGGCACTTGCTTCATAGTCTGGCATGACTGTGGATCAGATGCTGAAGTCAATCTGGCAGAAACCCCTCCGTTCTCCCTCAAGGGTTATCCAGCCAGGACCAATTAGAAATAAAAACCTTGGATATGGATATCTGAAGAAATGATGCTAACACAGTCTTCTAGGTGGAAAGTAAAGCTTTGTGAGATAACTAAAAGCTGTTCATTACAAGTGCAGAGGGGAAATGGAGCAGGTCATCCAGAGAGGTAACCAGTGGAGCCAGGACTGGAGTCCTGAAAATAAGCTAGAAAAAAGAGCAACTGGCTTGATTCAGTATTGGCATTGATTCTGCATCAAACCAGCACTTCCCACTAGTATTCCACAAATAGGGAACTCTAAGAGAAACTGAAAAACACCAGGCACCCAAAATCATATGGGCAAATTATGTATTTTCAATAAACTTCTGTGAGAAATAGATGTATTGAAGATTAGGTATCAGAGCACTTAGCAGTTCCCTGGGCTGTCTTACAGCCCTTGGTGGAGGAGCACAGTTCTTTGACAACTTGCTCATTAAGAAACTGGTTGCACTTTGGGGCAGAAGCTGGAGGTGCTACAGAAGTAAGGAGGGGAAGTAAGTCAGGATTGATGCTTAACAAAAGGCTTTTCCTTTGCATTTGCTTTTGTTTTTCATGGTCCACACTGCTGTCAACCAATTCATGAAGACCATCTCCAGCTTTCATGTAGTGTTTAAATCTCTCTTAATTGTTCCTAAGGTTACTGAGGAACTTTGCTAGTCATAGAGCACCTGGCACACGTGTTGCCAGGTGGTACCAGTGTGATGAAACATTCCCCGTATGCACCCAAACAGAAAGAATTGCAATTCTGTTTCTTATTACTACTGTTTCTCCTGGCAAAGGCAGAACCTTGCTATCAAATTTGCGTCTGGGCACCAAATTAAATAATGGGTTAATCTGCTTGAGCAGTTATTTCATTGCTAGCACCAGGCAACTGTGTTTCTGCTCTTCTTTTCATAAAAACTTCCTCAGACTTTATAAAAAGAGACCCCCCCCCAAAAAAAGGAATTAAAATCGGAAAAAAAACTGTTCATAGACTGTCTCTACAGGAGACATAATGTTGCTCTTTATTATCACTCGTCATACCAGTGACAGCCTATAAACTTCCTGCCCCTTCATGACTCTTTATTTGTCACCACCTGTGCCAACTCTTGCTCTGGCAGATGCTTGGCTTGGATCCAATATATGATTTATAGGTTCATTTGGTCAACACTGTGAAGAAAATAATGATATATTTTCTTTTTAAATTACAAATTAGACATCTACTCCCCATAACTAGTGACAAGAGCTTTGGCTTCTTTACATCCAAAGTGCACCTTTTATAGCTCGCTGTAGAATTTAAATGCTGGTTTCTCTTTCATGCCTAACTCTGAAAGTGAAATTTATGTAATATTGCAGCATATAAATGAAACCATCATACCTTCTTGTTTTATTGTGTGCCAAGCTTGCTTGAACTGATTCCTTTGGTAATAAATGGGCTGAATGTGTTGCCTCCCAGAGATTTAAAGGCCCTTTGCTTTGCTTTCTATTTTACATACCACATTATAATGTCTTTTAGAGAATTTCTTCAGAATTATAGTTTGTTCTGACATTGATTGATGTGTGTTTACTTGAGCACTTGAGTTTACTTGCTTCTATATGTAGGCTGTGTTTGTGAGGCTCGGGAGATGATATCAGCAACATAATAATTGGGAATTGTAATAAAATATAATTGAGCTCTAGGAAGCAAGAAGCAGATTTGTTTCTTTTCGATGAAGGATGTCTATGGAGCTCTGAGTAAAGCAGCGGTTTATTTTGATATTTGGGGAAAAGGCAAGGTTAAGAAATTCCCTGGTACCTTCACATCAAAGAGGGAAACTGTATGAAACCAACTAATAGGAAATTGTAAAGCAATCGTAGTGGTAGGTAGCCCAAATTCAGAAGTGCATCATAGGTTCCTCTGGTCAGCAAGAGGCAAGTGCTGCCAGGTTAGGCAAGTAAAGGTGGTTAAGGATTTACTCACACAGAGAACTGGGTTCAGGATGGGTCTGAGTTCACGGCTGCTGCTGTCCCATGGCAAGGGAGTATCTCGTTAGTAGCTGTTCATGCTGTGTGCATCAATGTGGCTTGGCTGGACATTGCTTCTGTATGGTGCACACAGGCTCCTGGGTGGAAGGAATCAGATGGGAAAGGGTTAGGTGACCTTTCTGCAGGGAATCAGGACGACAGAAGCTATGCTGCCAAACGTATATAATTTGTTTCACTTTGGAAATATGTAAATATCCCATCACTTTGAAACTGCTTCATTTTTCATAGCCATAAGAAGGTACAATAGGAAAGAAAAAAAAAAGCAAACAAAAAAGAATAGACTGTTTGTCCAAGCAGACTGGTTTTTTATATTGGCTGCAAAGCAAGTTTGTGTCTCTGTTTTTAAGGTCTAATTCTCCTCTCCTACATTCCTGTGCTGTGGGAATAGCCTCTATTGAGCTCATGAAAACAGAAAAAAAACAGTTCAATAAATAAATATTTTAGGCAGTCTTGTGGGTGTGTGCAAAGTGAATTCAGCCTCAGTTCAGTCATGATAGTGAATTGAAGCTGCTACCATAATGAGTAAGGGTAGCACACTTGTCCTGTAAGTATGGTCCATCATAAAAAATCATCGCTCAAAGACACGGGGCATCTGTTGCCTTTGTGACTGTTGGGGGGTTGTGCTATTCCTTAGTAGGCATGTAGCAGACAAGGGGGCAAATGCATTGAAACAAGGAATACCACTTTATTTCAGAATGAAAGCCTGGATATTCCACAATCAAGCATGGAGTAGGAGAAACACAAAAATCATAGAATGCTTAAGGCTGAAAGGGATCTCTAGAGCTCATCTAGTCCAACCCCCTGCACACGCAGGGTCACCTAGAGCACGTGGCACAGGACTGCGTCCAAGCGGGTTTGAAGATCTCCAGAGAAGGAGACTCCACAACCTCTCTGGGCAGCCTGTTCCAGTGCTCTGTCACCCTCACTGTTAGGAAAATTTTCCTAATTTTCCTTAAGTTCCTGTGGAACTTTCGATGTTTCAGTTTGTGGCCACTTCCTCTGGTTCTGTCGGTGGCCACCAGTGAAAAGAAGATGGCCCCATCCTCTCCACTCGTTCCCTTGAGATGTTCATATACACTGCTAAGGTCCCCTCTCAGCCTTCTCTTCTTCAGGCTGAACAGACCCAAAATACCTCATGTTTATCAAACATCATTCCTTTTCTCTTCTTTCATATTCCCCCTTTTCTCACAGTCACTCCAGGGGACCAGTTCTCCATACTTTTGTTTACTACCTGGTTTTCCAGCCTCTGCTATGACCACAAAGCACTGTGTTGACTCGGGAGCTCTCCAGAGAGTTCAAGTCCTCCCTTCTCAGATGCCAGCTCTGTAATCCTTGCAAGCCGGTGTTCCCAGGTCACATCTTCAGTGGATTCCTTAGTTCAGGGAAGTGCCCCATGAGGTTGTCGACCAGTAAGTCCACGTGACTTTTTCCTGCCCCTGTACATTTGCTAACAGCACCCAGTAATTCAATGTTGCTTCTGCTTCCTGATCTACAGGTAGATTTGGAAAGTCTTTTGTGTTGATCAGTTAGGAATAAAAAAAGCAGAGATGAGAGAGCATGTGCAGGAATCCCCATTGCAGTGGAGCTTAATTTTATTTTAACACAAAACCCTGTGTTCTCTTTTTGTGCAAAATAAAGGTACCAGACTTTTCGAAAGTAATGCATCTGAAAGGTGATGTTTTATATCAAAAGATTAGTATTTCTGCTGTAGATGTATTCGGGTAATTTTCTTTTCATTCTTACTATTTGTTTTTATTCAGAAAAAAATAGTAGTGCCCAGATGTGCTCTTTTGTAATGCATACAGAGCTAGGTAATACAGATAAGAGGATCTATCAACTGCTCCACATTTGCGGTTTAATTTTATTAGGAAGTCAGCTGTCCATTTGCTTCAAGCTGGTATCCAACTATTAAGATCTCTCTTCATGTCTATTTCCCTTTCCTTACCAAAAAAACAATCTAATCATGCTAGTTTAATGGTTACCTTTTAAGACTTGTTTTCCAGGCATTTTTCTTCATAATTAGTTGATATAGGAAGCCCATTTGGAAAGGACACTGCTTATGATACCATATGGCAGAATCTTCATCTGGCCTTGGGCTGCGGGAACCAGAGGATGGATGAATATCCTGCAGTTGTTTTGGCATGGTTGTATCACGGATGGCTGATTGCCAGCAACAACTGCAGTAAAAGATCTTGAGTGTCAGTGTTTTCCTTTGTGTATTAAAACAGAGCATTTGCACTTTATGAACCATCTCGGGCAGGATTTGTGGCAGATACTGGAGGACTTGAAGTGACAGAAGTAGATTAGTCGCTTGCAGGTTGCACACCAGCCTGTCCTGATGTTGGCTGCTCCAGCCCTGGCACCACTGACACTTTTTTGCCCTTCTTTCTAGAACATTTGAAAGAGAAGCTGGAGGAATACATGGTCCGCTTTGCCAAAGTGAGGATCGTGCGTACCAAGAAACGAGAAGGGCTCATTCGGACCAGGCTGCTAGGAGCCTCGCTGGCTAGAGGAGAAGTCCTCACGTTTCTGGATTCCCATTGCGAAGTCAACGTGAACTGGCTGCCTCCCTTGCTTAGTAAGTGTATGAGCATTCATCAGCTGCTAAAATTACAGCTTTATAGTACAGTATTACAGCTTCAGCCATCCTGTAACAAGCAGGACACCCTGCATACAGCGGGCCTGGAGCAGCTTTGCAATCCCAAGCACGCAGATCTGCAGACCTTCATAGACACTGCTGAATAGCACAGGCATCATTTTGCTGTTATACATGCTGGTTAGTTAATAACTGAAGAGTTAGTACAGAGAGAACACAGAGTAATCTGAGCTTAATTTTGTGATTCTTGAGACTAAGGAACTAGTAAATTTTTGAAATATTGCTTTGGCCTATGTTAGGTTTTGGAGTTAAGTTTTATTTTATTACAGCATGCCACTCAATCTAGGATTATGCAACAACCATACTATACACCTGCAAGCTTTTGTTATGCAGGTGTTGTACTCCTTTGCACTCATCTACATTCTGTTAAATCAGCTTTTGCTGTAAATGTAACCTCTGAGTTAAATCCAATAACAACTGCATTCACAATAGGAAGCTCAGAAGGAATGATTTGCTATTGACTGCTTTGCTATATTCCAGCTACAGCTGGCAAAGTTCCATTAGCCAACAGAATGGAAAGAATCAATTGTTGTAGCCTTAGATCTCAGTGAGGAAACAATATACCCTTTTCTGCACACCTGACTACATGCAAGGTGTCTGTTCTTTGCAGAGCAAGTGCTATTTTTGGTAGCAATAGCAAAATTTCCAAAGTTGCTATTAAAGAACTTTGTGTTAATTAAAAGAAAATGTTTTAAGTACGTGACAGGTGAGAATCCCCCTCATTAACAGTTGTCATTTCTTGAAATTTGTTGTAGGGCGTTTTCAGCAGCACAATACACTGATAAGGCAATTGCAGCCAAGAAAAAATGCTGTTCTTTTTGAACCATGTACCTTGAGAGGGAAGAACAATAACTGCTTTTCCTTCAGATTTCCCTTCCTTTCCTTTCCTTCAGATCAGTAACAAGACAATTATAAAATTCCAAACTTAAATCCTTCCTAGCTTCCACATCAAATTAACACATACAGTCTATTCCCTTGTTAGCCTTTTCCCCTTAACAGCAGTGTCAGAGTTTTAAAAATAACCTTCCTTCCTGTAAAGCCCAGCTCCTTGATGCCATAAAGGAACAGGAGGAAATAGGAGTTTCAGCAAGACTTTCACAAGCAGCTCTGACAAGCAGCAGTTAAACATTCTGGATGTACTCTACCCATGCAGCCCTCTCTGCTTTCTGATATTATCCCAAGACAACACTCATTCTATACATCACCACTAGTGTAAAAAGCTCAAGCAAGTTCTCAGACTCAGCCTCTGTTACCTTCTGCTAATTTACTGCAGATTAGATAGAACCTATTCTATTTCCTTCTACTCCTCTATTTTTGCTGACTTAGACATAATAGGAAAATCACAGGTTGAAAACCAGCCCTTTTCTTGCCTTCTTTTCTGAACCAAAGATACATCTAGCTGGGTTTGACCCCATAAAGCCTGAGAAATACATGAACAGTCAGATAAGAATTTGTAATTGCACTTGGGTTGCAGTTGGGTATTAAATCGATGATCACAACCCTCAGCCTCAGGCCGCACAACTGGCATGATCAGACAGCCTTAATGAGAGAACAAGACCCAATTCTCCCCAGTTCTCAAGTGCAATGAGATCTTTCTCGTGCCACATAAAGTAGAAATACCCTTAGCTAGCCAGCCAGAGGGTCTAGAAATTAATCTGGAAGAACACAGAAGCCTGAGATCAATAGGCTTTGTTTCAAAAGAAAAAAATAAAGCATAACATAAAGAAGGACAAACAGAGGATGAACACACAGCGAATATATTTCGGAATGCCCTATGCCCTGTTTTCCTAAAGGGAAGGCAGAACCTTTTCAAAACCATTAAATGGAAAATATTCACTATATTGAAATCTGGCTGCGGATAATAGTGAAATTAATATCTTTTTATCTTTTAGTGTTGATCTCAAGGTCTATCTCGTAATTCATTCAACACTGTGTTTAACTGAATGACACCAGCAGAAACAAAAGCAGAGGTTATACCATTATTCATTGCTTTGAGGATGCCCTTCATCTTCACTTTGTTTCTGATTGTGTTTTCCAAACATAGCGAAAAGTCCTCAACAAGAGCCGAGTTCAGCTTCTGGAGTGGAGACTGTCGGTCTTCTCTGAGCAGGGATGTATTTTTCAGTGTTTCAAAATATTTTTGTCAGAATGCGACCTTACAAGTTAGAGAATGAGAAAAAAAAAACGCAATCAGAGCCAATTCTCAGTTACTTAGGCATCTAACTCATTTTCAAAATTTACTGTCATTTTTTAGCTGAGAGAAAGACTGTGACTTCAGCACTCATTAGGTATATAAGTAGCTTTGAGGAGTTTTTTGTGGGGAAAAAAGTGTGTTCATTTCTATCAAGGTCTTTTATTTTGTTAAAAACAAGTGCAAAATGGCTTTTCTGTATTTTCTTTAGCCTTTATGTATTTTATTTGTTTAGCTGAAGAGGATTTCTAAACTGAGATGTGCTACCCTTAAACTGACGTCTCAGAGAACGTTGCCTGATGTTCCCTGAGCAGGCAGCTGTAGCAGAGTAAATATGTTGGCAAACACAGCTGTTTGTGATCACTTCTCAATAGTATAAAGTCAGCAGAAGGAGGGAATGCAGCTTGAGCTCTGGAAGGTGTGGCTGAGAACTCAGCACAGTACAAAATCATGATCATGGGTCTAAGGTAAGAAAATGAAAAATGAATGAGCTGGAAGATCCAGGTGCATCTTACCCTCTGCTGATGTTGCTGCAGGAGCAGTAAGAGGTGGGGAGATAGTCAGTAATGCCTGAGATTATTTCCTGAGGCAGCCTTAAGGTTACATCAGGATTACAATATGCTCAGCAAGTTGTATTAGCTCCCTGCTAGCTCTGGCTGTCCCTTTCCACACAAGAATTATTAGTGGCACATTACTTGCCAGTGAGGAAGGCTAAGAGCATAAACACAAATGCTGATGACAAATCAGATAGCCAAAAAATAACACACTGAACCACTCAAGTGTTGTCATCATCTTTGATCGTGTTTTGTGAGCAGGGAGATAAGAACACTTGTAAAGTGGCATCGTTGGTCTAACCAGACCAAATAGAAACAGGCATCTGAAACTAAAGGGGTGCAACTTTCTCAGGATGTTCTTGAGGCAATATTGAGGCTTAGACAATATTAAAACTTTTGTTTATTGTCACATATATGCACATGGCTTAATTTTAGAAATTCTGGAAAAAAAAAATCAGAGCAGTTAGTAGGGAGGAAATTCTGAAACTTTAATCCTAGGTTTCACCCCATTCTGCAAGTTTTTTCATATATGATGGCACTTGCCTGTCCTTCCCTGCATCTGTAGCATATATGTATGTGAAAATACTGCATGGAAATTTTCAAATCAATAGGAATTTGCACAAAGATGATGAGAAAAGCTAATGGAAAAGATGTTGTAAAGCATTTCAGCTGTGGCTTGCAGTCTTTTCCATTAGAGCAGATGGGATAAAGATTGGTGGGTTGCAAAGGCAGCAGTATTTCTGCATCTGTATCTGCACTCTTGTGACATGTAGGCTGGTCATACAGCTCTTTGGTCTGCTCCCTAAGTTCATACTAGGGATACATTTAAACCCCCAAAAGTATGTGTGCAAAAATCATTATTTCAAGCATACTGAAAGAAGCATTGAGGATCAAGGTTTGATCACTTTGTCTTTTGGTGTGCACGTGTACATAAAGTGTACCCTTCAAAAGTCAAGATCTCCTTGTGGTTCCCCATCAACTGTAAAATATCTTTGAGAATGAGCTTGAGAAGTAAGTTCTCTGGATGCATGAAGGAACAGAGAGCTAAGTACCATCTTGCACTTGTGTAGTGGTGTGGGAAGGATGCCTGGGATGGAGTTTGGGTGTGTGACTCATTTCCAACCCTGCAGGCTATTTAAAGAAAGAGGCTTTAAAAAAATCCAGAGGAAGGTGCTGACGTGCTATGAATCTACTTTGACCTGCTCCAGCCAAATCAATGCCATTTAGCTTCTCCCCTCCAATCAATTCAGGGTGAAGCATCAGAGAATATTACAAACCCTATAACTATTAGCAGGACCATCACAGGAAATAGATTATGTAAAAATGACTTTACATAAAGATTACAGATAGCACTACACAGTGTACTAGCAAATGCAATTGTATTGGGCACTACTAACAGTAACACAGCCATTAAGTCTTGGATGAGGTTCCTCAAATTTTGTGAGAGCCTGTACTTTAAATTTATTTCACTATTAAAGGATTAGATATTTTTAAAAAAATAGACTTCCAGGTGCAATAATTTCTCACTAGTGGTCTGCTTTGTTCCACCATTTAGACAGTCTCTGAACAACACAAAAATAAACATGAAGACTCCCAATGTCTTGTTTAAAATTATCATTTTTAAAGTGCAGTCTTTCAGAAGGGAGCAGACTACAGGTTATTAATGATCACACCACTGTTACCTGCCTGACTATTTAAGGTTTTATTCTGCACTCAATCCTCTGGTTTTTTTAGGCTATTATCAGGCACCAGTGAAATCTAATCCTTAAAAAAACTGAATGTTCTCCACCTAGGCCTAAAAAGTGTTAAAATTTCTGAAGAACAGAGACTACTATTTAAAGAAAAGTTTTATTTTACTTAGAATATTGAAAATTCAAAACATAAAATGATAGCTTTTTAAAAGTTCACAGAGAGTTTTTGGTATAGTCCTTTCATGCTCCTTTTGCCAAAGCAGCTACAAAGTTTCCCTCTACCTCCTCAAAATATTATTCTTCTACTTAGTTTTTGCACTTGGGTTATCTTCTTTACCTTTGTTTCCTTTCTGAGGAACCCTGCAAGATTGAGCAATAGTATTTGCCAAAGGCAATCACAGGGTCGCCGTGCTCTTACACCAGAGATTTCTAGTTTTTATAAAAAGCATAAAGAAAAACAAGAGTAAGAATAATACAGTAGAAACCATTTTATACCTCAAAGCAAGGAACAAAAAGATCATAAAGGCTGTTTTATTCCTAGTGTTAGAATTCATTTTCAATTTGTAGCATTTGACCTCAAAGTTGGCGCACCGTCGCGCTGCAGGAAGAGGCTCAATAGTTGCAAAGTCTGAGATTTGCATTTGGGAACACAAATCCCTCCTGCAGGATTTTGCCTTACACACTCCACACTGCTGAAGAAGTATTTTTATATTTTGCTTGCTGACTTGGTCTGTAGCTGACAGATTGGGGACAGCTCAGAGTAGTAAAGGGACAGAGATACAGATGTCTGGACCCCTTGTGGGTCTCGCAGGGCTATGCCTCCTTTTAAAGAACTGTAATTGCTTCTAATCATTGCCCAACTGCATTAAGTCCACTTTAGATAAAGGTCTGATACAAATTTGAAAAATGAAATTATTTGGGGACCATAGGGATTGAAGCAAGCAATCTTCAAAACATCCAAAAAACCTGTGGGATTCACTTTGCAGTAATGTGATAGATGGCTTGACTAGACATGCCGTTTGCTATTTTCTGCTTTCATTTTTCAGACCAGATTGCACTAAACCACAAGACCATCGTGTGTCCTATGATCGATGTCATTGACCACAATCACTTTGGCTACGAGGCACAGGCGGGGGATGCCATGCGAGGAGCTTTTGACTGGGAAATGTACTACAAAAGAATTCCGATTCCTCCGGAGCTCCAGAGAGCTGATCCCAGCGACCCCTTCGAGTAAGTAGCAATAAAGGAGAGAATGAGACCGGGAAGCAGAACGTGCAGACAAAATAGCTCTAGCAGAAGAACGCAAGACCGAGAATTTCCTTGTAGGCCAATTAGTGCTAATTAAAGGTAATAGAGGCAAACGGCTGTAAACCTCAAAACCAGCAAAAAGACCAGGGCAGCAAGTTGCAGAATTCACAAGCTGTGCTTGGAAATGCAAAGCTTCCTGACCTCTTCTGCCCCGGTGCTTATGCGTAAAAGCAACACATACTTGTAGTTCAGAGAAAGCGTGGGCATTGGGCAAGGAATAAATGTGGCTACAGTTATTCTCTTTATTCCACAGAGCATTTTCTGAACAGACTTTAGTTTGTGTTTTCTTTGCTGGAGATTTATGTAATACGTGTGTGAATAGCCAAGTCCACATTCTGCTAGCAAATGCTTTATTTATGACTGGTAATATTGCTACTGTATATGTGTTGCTGTAATTTAAACACAGGAGTATCAAGCCCAAATAGTATCAAGCTGAGTTGGAAATAATATTTTATACGTCAGCCTCTGATCCTAGTACTGTATAGATCAGCTCACCCACAGGAATGATCCTCAAGTCCTCACAAAGTTAGATCCTTTCTTTTCTTTCTTTTCTTTCTTTTCTTTTTTTCTTCCTTTCATGTAAGGGCTGGGTGAGTTTAATCCTGCTCAGGAGGGAGGGGAGAGACGTGGCTCAGTGTGGGGAGGGCTGCAGATCTCTCGTGCAGCCTGCATCCCAGCAGGGCTGGCACTGAGACCTGCTTTCATACTGTCATTATCCCTGGCTGAGACTCCTCACTGCAGATTTTCGAGGTTTAAAAATTCAACAATGTCCCCATCCCAAGAGAAAATCCGGAAACAATAGCCTAGAAAAATGGTTTCTCTGGCCCAGACTCTGAAGTATTTGGTGGTAATGGGTCTGATTCATGCCGAATGCTGCATATAGCCAAGGGACAACCAGCAATCTATTCCAAGAGCTGGTGATGGGCATGTGGTGTGCTTAGCTTCATCACTCTGCTTGTTCCTCGCCGCCTACCCCATCTAGCCACACCAGTCTTCATCTTGCACAGGTACTGGTGTTGATGAAGTGCTTTTCATCAGCTGCCAGTGCCACCAAGCCACAGCATGGACACAGTTAATGTAACTGCATCACTCTGCAGAGCTGCTAGACCCTCCACTGCTCTTCCACAATCTCTCTGATCTTCTGAGCAGCTCTGTGCTTTCAACCTACTGAAAGTCACCTAGTACATCTTATAATTTGGTTTAGCGTTCATTGCCTAAAATCAGTATGATTTTTTTTGCTGAGGTGAAGGGTTATTTTGTAATTCAAACACAACTGAGCGAAGTCTAGGGCTTTCTCTCTTGACTACTTCCAACTTAAAAGTATCTCAAGCTTTAAACGCCTTGATTGCAACAAATATGGTGAACATTGCCGACATGGTGTTTAGGTATAAGTTAATTGACCAAGACAGCTTCTATGGCAGTAAAGAGACAAAATAATTTTCCTTTAGGTGCATATATATGAAAACTAGAAATGGTTTCAGCCAACATCATAATTATTATATTACTATTTGTAAGCAGTAGGGATTTTTTTTTAGTTAAATATTTTTCTGTTGTTAAATATTTTTCTGTTCTGATTTCTTACCAGCAGCATCAGATCTGAGGTAATCCTTAATGAACTGTAAAATTGCCAGCATTTTTAGTAAGATTTTTAGTAAGACACCAGCAAATAATGGGTATGTGATCCAAAAATAGTGCTGATGGTGGGTTTTGTTTTGTTTTGTTTTTCCTTAAAATGCCAGCACAGTGTGCAACTTAAGCAGAAAAGGTCACATCAGTCTAAGGAATAATGCACATTAAAAAAAAAAAAGGCAAAAAAAAAAAAATCAAACTACAGAAGACCTAAGAATGGTCATAATATTATCGGAATGATGTTTTTGCTTTCCGTATGCGCATCATTAAAATCCTGCTGCTGTGGACACCAGCAGCAACGAGCTGTCGCGGGGTTTTGGTGTGACAGGAGCCTGCAGCGTGTGTGACCTGTAACTGTCTCGGAAGGGTCTGGCCCTGTCCCGTGTCAGTCAGGTGCAGATGTTGCTCTAGCACCATCCAGGGAATCACACGATGAACCAGTAAGTGCCTTTGGATCATGCTGCGTTCAGCCCTGCAGTTGCTCATTTTGGTTCACATGCAGTTTGTCACTGGCAATGCCAGGCTTCCTAGAGGCTTCACTGAACCAAGATACAGCCGTATGAAGTGTGTTTTTCAAAGCTCCTATGTGAATTCTTGGAGATTACCCTGTACTTATTGTATCGTTTAGGAAAATTTAGCAGTTATTCCATCCTGGGATAATTGGATCTCATTAAGTCTTTAAAATTAGCTATTTTTCTAAAAGACGTGTTGCTGCTATTCAAGATATGTTACATGAACCTCCATAGCTTCGTGGCATGTGTACAAGGCAGATCAAATCAGTGCTGTGATGTATTGTGGAGAACTGTGTTCATCACACTGTCATGTCAGTCACACACAGTGTCTTGATCCCAGGCTTACTGATCACTCAGCAGAATTTGAAACAAGCTCTGAATTTTCCTTCTAGCCCATTACTAGGAGCACCAGG